TTGCCTCACCTTCCTCTTCCATAAAAAGCTTTGCCAGGAAAACCCCAAAGGCGGTCATGAAGAGTAGAACACGACTAAAACAACTCAACAACGAAAGAAAAAGTCATCAGATTTGGTAACTTAAAGTAACTTTGGAGAAAGAAATGTTAGATGAATGATGAGGTTGAAAGCTAGACAGCAGAGTGTTTAGAAGCAAGTGGGAAGAGAAGAAAGGGAAGCACCAAGTGTAGACAACTTTTTAAAGGTTAGCTAGGATGGATGAGAAGAGATATAGGACAATAGCTAGCAGAGCTCATGAGATTGTGAGGGTTTTTAAAATATGGGGGAGACACGGGTATGTTTGCAGCAACAGGGAAGGCAGAAAGGGAGGGGAGGGAAGAAACCGGTAGACGTCGAGATTTAAGATTAGAATGGAGATGAAAGTAGGGGCGATACGCTGGAAAGGAAAGGAGGAGATAGGGTACACAGAGAATTGCCTAGGTAACGAAAAGGGTCACCTCTTCGATGTGATATACGAGTGAAGGACGTAGTAGGGAAAAGACGCTCGTGTGATGGAAGGTGAGGATAAGGAAAGTGAGAGCCATTGGTAAATGGCCTCAGTTTTTCAGTGAGTTACGAGAAGTCCTTAGCTGAGCAGATGAAGGGAGCAGGTTCCATGGGAGCCTTGAGGAAGGAGGTTTACTGTTTTAGGCACCATGGGGAGTGGGACAGTGAATCAATTAGGGAAGTGTTAAAAGGAATGATTTCCTGTAGTGACGGCACGGTTGAGATTATGTAATAAATCTGTGCTGGACATACTCAGCACAGTTTGGTGATTTTCTTTAGCTTCATTTAATAGCATGAGAATAGGGGCCAAGTATATAAATAGTGGTAGTAATCCAAGTTCAGGGTTTAATTAGATCAGATCAACACTAGGACAAGAGAGTAAAGGTGTAGAAGACCGTGGAATTAAACCGCTTCACCAAGGGGCATCGATAGGGAAGAGAGAAAAGTGTAGCCAGTACAGGGGCAAAAAGTCAAGGGAAGAACTGAAGGGTAGAGACTGAAGACCACAGTGCGGATGAGTAACAGGCCATGGCATCGGACAGAAAGATGACAGAAAATGACTAGATAAAGGAGTTTCAAAGTTCATCAACATAGAAGTGTAACACGTGGATGATAGCAAGACAATGACTAGAACCGTGTCCGAGTATAGCTGAGAGGGAGTGGAGGAGTAAGTAGGTGCTGGGAACTGAGAAGATCCGAGAAACTGGGGCAGTTAGGGCAGTTGGGAAAGCTTCAGTATGCATGCTGGAGTCACCAAACGCGGCAATGAAACTCACTGAGCTACCGGCAATGAGAGACTAAACTCGTGGCCGTGTGAGCAAAGAGGACGCATTCAAGAAATATCACGGAGACAGAACTGGATGAGGTTATCCCTGATCTCTTTGCATTCTTTAATACTGTTGACCACTCCCTCCTCCAAGACACTCTCCTCCCCTGGTTTTCCTAACAATGCTCTCCTAATTCTTCTACCTCTATGACCACTCTTCAGTCCCTTTCCTAGAAGTCATCATTGACCCTCACCCTCTCCTTTACTGCTAACATCTATCAGTTGCCAATTCTTGTCGATTCTGTCTCTACAATTTATCTGGCGACTGTCCTGGGAGTGAACAGATCACTGGTGACCTTGTGAGCCAGAGTACAAAGAGTTAAGAAGTGGAAGGTAACTAAGTGGAGGCAAAGACTGTAGACCCAAGGTATCAAATATGCACCATGGGCCAGCAACGCTCCCCAGGGCAGAACCACATTAAAATCTGATTGGGAAAAGTAAATAAAAATACAGTAGAAAACTACATATTAACATTATGTTCTAAGTCAACATGCAGACAGGGATCCTTATGCACCTTTTAGCAGGCCCCCCCGTTTGTATTTGAGTTTGACACCGCTGGAGCAGAGGTTTTTCTAATTGTTTGGCTAGAAAAGGGGAGATTATAGGACACCAATTTGAGGGGATGACAGGATTTAGGGTTTTTTTTTTTAAAGGATGGGGGAAATAACTGTTTTCAAGTGGTAGGAAGGAACCTATGGATAAGAAGAGATTGAAATTTAGGGAGAGGATGTAAGGGGCAGCTCTGAGAAGGGAGGGGTTGGGGTTTGCAAGGCAAAGGGCCACCTTCTTCCCGCAAGACTGGAGCAAAAGAGAAGAGAGGGAATGATGCTGAGGTGATCTGGAGTTCAGAGCTGGGAAAAGGGCTTTCAAGACAGACGGCCTCCATTTTGCCCGTGAAGTATTTATTGAGGTTCTCTTTTGAGGGTAGTGAAGGGCCAGTTTAGGCAGCTTGAAAGGAGGTTTTTAACAGAGGCAAAGAGGCAGTTTGCCACCAAGAGAACAGAGGATTTCACAAGGCACTAGGCAAGGACAGTGGGTTTTTAAAGAACCAACAAAACACTGAGCCTCACTAGGAAACCAAGTGGTTATATGGGTAACTGGAGCCTTACACTTACCTGTCCAAGCCTAACAGTGGGAAGAGGGCTAGATTTGGAAATAGGAAACTTCTAAGTGAGTCTTCTCTCATACACTAACTAGCTGTGTGATTCAGGGGCAAGTTACTTCATCTTTCTGAACCTGTTGCCTCATCTGTAAATTAGGAAAACCAAAGCTCAGAAGAGGACGCAGCAATTTTGTCACTACCCTGTTAAAAATGGGACCTAAACCACTGAACAAAAGTTGTTTCACACACGATCCTCATTTTTGCTCTGTCAGTGAAATGTTTGTCAGTGATTTTTTAAAAAAATACAATGAGTATTACACATATACCTTCTATGTTACAGGGTGGTCACAGAAAACACTCTGCAAATCAAAACATTCTCTGTAAAAATCAATGTTATTGAACTAAATCTCAGGTCTCTTTTGCACTGATTTTATGATCTGTTTAATCTATGGTGAACTGTAAAATAGTACAAAGCAATGTCCGAGGGGTAAACAGAATGATTTAATGCTTTAAAATTGACTTTTATTTAAATGCAACAGGTCGTTTAGACAGGTAGAGGAGGGCACGGCAGGGATGGCAAGCAGAGAGACAGGATGGAGAGCTTTGTTTGGAGGCAGACTTTGGGAAAGAAGACCTAAGTTTGAATCCTGCTGCATACATTTAACTAGCTACGTATAACCCTAGGCAAGTCACTCACTTTTCTCATCCTTAGTGCCCTCAACTGTAAAATAGAGATAAAAACAGCAGCTACTTTACAGGGCTGTTGTAAGAATCAAGGAGGTATCTTATTTAGAGTGCTATAAAAATGCTATTATCATTATTTGATTTTCTTGATCAAATGAGGCTTTCCTGAAGCTCCATCTTCACTGCCAGACTTCCCAGAGATTAGGACAAGACAAATTATGCTTTGTTCACAAAGGCCTCCCTAAAAGCAGTTTGGCTTTGAGCGGTTTGCTATCAAATTATGGGTCTGCAATGGCCACAAGGTACCCCTCCGGGTGGCTGCATTTCTGGGGACGTGTCTTGCCACGTTGACCGAGGCTGGTTCTGAACTGTGGACAGTGTTACTCGTGCCTTCCCAGCTTGGTAGAACCTGCCAGCTCCTGCTCCCCTAGCATAAGCTTCAAGAATCTCAGGGCAGATGAAAAGCAGAGCAGGGACTCTGGATTCCCATTCTCAGCTTTTCAGGATTCCTTTGGTCCCATGCACTCAGAAGAGCCATACAAGCCGCAAAGTAGGGAGAATAACTCGGCCAAACTTATTTGGCTCATGGGGTGTTGGGGGGGAGAAGGGGAGGACGAAGGGAGGGATATTAACTAGGTAACAACCTTCTTGAGGTTAGATATCAAGCAAGCCTTCAATGAGTTCCTCCAAGGGTTCCCATATGCTATCCAAGTGTGGCAAATTATGTAACCTCTCTGAGGCTGTTAACTCACCTGCACAGTAAAGAGTCAGATGTACTCTGATGCGATAGTGTCAAACCCAAAAAGAAATGAGGTCCACTGATCAATACAGAAAGATCACTGTGGGATGTATAGTAATTTAGTTTTAAAATGAAATATTATCTATGTTTTACTGCACCTTTATTATTTTGGTAAATATTTCCCCATTCTGGCTTGGGATACACCTGGGACTGTTACGGGCCACCGTGGTGTGTGTGACACTCCTTCTTCAGCTCTACAGTTCGTGGGAACAATCAAGTGCTCCATATGCGTAGGAGCTCAAATATTCGCCTGACTAGAGAACTCACCTTGAAGGCTGAGCCCCATAGTGGGGAGGTAAAGCCCATGCCTGCTTGGCCAAAGGGTCTAGAAGGCTGAGCTGCCACACGCAGGGTACAGATCAGAAGCCTGATGAACCTCCGGGGTCTGGACTAGTCCTGGCTAACAGACAGCTCTTCTCCCCTCACCATTTTCTTCATTACTGGGAAAGCATACTTCGAGACTTGATGTGAGACATTCAAAACTCCAATGACATTACCAACCTTCTGTCTTACCTAGTTGATCCTCCCAGATCTGGATCAGTTTTTGGTTTCAGAGGAAGGGAGAGGACAACGGGAAAAATAAATGTAGTGGCTTCTGGGTGACTCACTTTGTCATCCCACTGTCCACACCATTTTTCATTCACTGTGTAAAAAGCTGCCAATTCCAGAAATACGGCAAATAGCATGCGTCCACATGGTAGAGTGTGTCACGTGCACTGACTACTCCCCCAGCTCACATGGAGGATGCTTTCCTGGGGACAGAAAAGTCCTCATACTCAGTGCCAGATGTACTTCTGGGCCCAAGGAGACTGGTCAAGGCATCCCTTAGGACCACTGCTTTGGTCTACCCATGGTAGTGGCCCCAATGGCAACAGAGGACCAAGGGAGAAATGTCACCAACCCAGAAGAATCTGCCCCTAGCACACCTGAGTGGATGAAAGTAGTGTCAGCTGGAAGGAATGCACTGGATACTGTGATAATTCAATAGCTGGGAGCAGCTGCACGAAATGTGTCTTCTATCTGCCAATCAGATTCAACAAGGATAATAAAACACAATTATTTTATTGATTTCTTGCAAATACTGCCAACTAGCATTACTTCCATTCATGCACCATTCAAAACAAAGGGATAATTCTGTGGGTATTTTAAAAATGATGCATAACATTTTAATACAGCAAACAGAAAGTTAAAACTTAGGATGCACCCTGATTAATTATGTAAACTGATAATTTAAAAAAAAAAGCAGAACTAATAATTTGGTTCCTTTCTTCATAAAGTGGAAATTTCAACATTTCTCCTGATAGTCTTGAGGTTATCATCATGTTAGAAGTAGTGCAAAGTGTGGCACATGGAGGATCATCTAGGAAGGCATGGAACTGACATGCCTCATTAGAATTAATAAATTGTGCAGAACAAAACGCATGCAGTCAATGCATGATAGAAAGCATCTTTCCAATACAAGGCCACCCTTGGGCTCCTGTATTAATTCGATTTTGCATTATCCTTTATGGCATTATAGATTAATTATTACATATAGCATAACCCTGAAGTTAAGAGAAGAAAAATAACTGCTGCTTGAAAAAAGTGATTCCGGGTCGCCATTTGGTTTGAATTGGGAGAGAGACCCTCGAGAGGTTAGTGCCTGCCACCTGTCGCTTCCTCAGCCGCGGTCAATTCCTTGGCTGTGCTGGGTGCTTCACGGTGACCGTGGTCTACGGCGTGGCCAGGCCTCTTCTCCTCCACCTGGACCGGACCATCCCTAGCTCCGTGGTTTTCCCTTTTTGCTGTTTTCACTGTTTGATTTCTTCTCCCTTACCACCACCGTTTTAGCCCCTTGTGAGCGTCCATTTAACTGTTCATAAGTCCTTTCAGAATATCTTCAGGGAGCTCCAGAAGCTGGAGCTCTGGGGACGGAAAGTCCAAGGGAGGAAGGTTGGGGATGGGAATGTCCTTGGCCTTCCCCGTGTTGGCTGCAAACTCCTGCCAGGGAGAAGAAGCTGAGGCAGTCTCTGCAGGGGGAGGCAGGCTCCATAGTTCAGATTTTTCTACAAAGTCAGCATCTACATCCAATTCCTTGTCGAGCGGCGCCTTCTGGAGCCTGGCCTTTTCGGCTCGCAGCTGCTTGTTTTCTCTCCTCAACCTTTCGTTGTCGGCCACAAGAAACTCGACGTGCCGCTTCAGATCGGCAATCTTGGTCGCTTGCTCTTCTATCGTCGTTCTGTCGTCTTTGGGGACTTTGCTGCCAGCACACGCTTCTGTCGGGTCTTTCCTCTTCTGGAGGAGAAAAAGAAGAGTGTCTGGGTCCCTGTCGAGGACCCCTGGCACTGCGGCAGGACTCAACTGCTGAGAGCGGGGCACGCTGGGGCCCTCAGACCCATCCTCAGCCAGCGGCCTGCACGACATCAGAAGATGAGGGGTTCCGTCAGCAGTCTTTTGAGCTTTCCACCTTTCCTCCCGCTTTGCTCTCTTCCACCTCTCCTGGATGAGCAAGAGTTGCTTCATATGGCTATCCCTTTGTAATTCCAGTGATAACTGAGCCTAGAAAGAGGAAAACGGTCATTCCCAAAAGTTACAAAGCTAAGGCACTTCAATACTTCTCTCAATATTCCTTTCAAGTTCCCTACTCTTGGGTCCAATCTGCTAATAATGTGGAGTTACATAAAGGAAAACTACAATGTCATCATTTAATAAGCTCTCTTTAATCGAGGAACCAATGAGAAAAAAAATTCAAACTTAGGAAGATTTAGAAAGCCTGAAAATTTTGCTGAAGGACAGGCTGGCTATCAATTCATCTAGAGAAAGAGACACGATTCCAATAATATTTCCCCAAATAAATGTCTGGAAATATCTATTTTTTCCAAAGTGCTTAAAACATACCAAAGCCATCTGCTCCAGTAGCCCAGGTCCCCCTACCCACCAACACTGAAATCTGAGTGTGATGGTTTTCCTCAGGCCACTTGGATAAAGCTGAAATTCCTTCTGCAGCCAGCTGATGAGCAGAAAGGGGACGACTAATAAAAAGGCTGGTCTACGACAGGGGCTCACAAGGCACCATGCTATGCTTACCAGGAGGAATTGCGCCACACCACAGAAGCGTCAAAAGGCTCGTGTGTCAACAGGAGGTTCAGTTTGGTAGAATTTGGGGGACCCCTAGTGGAAGTTGTGGCACAGCACAGACTGTGAGAGCCACTTGATCTATAGGGTAGCAAGCCTGGACCTCTCAGAGTCAGGTGGTCATGGATGGCCCTTATTCATTATTCTCCTGAGCAAGTGCAAAGCCTCTTAGGAAGTGAATCCATAAGCCCGAGGGCAATGGAAACCCTAAAATTACTCTTATTTCCGTTTGGAGCAACAGGAAGGAGGAGCCCATTGCTTCTACTAATAAATCTGCTGAACCAAAGGACCATAAATACAACCCAGGAACTAAATTTCTATTTAATGACACTATTTAAAATGACTTTCTGAACAACCTGGAAGGGTTTACCTGCTGGAACACCAAGCACATACACACAAACGAACCTAGAAGGCTCGGCCAGGTGAGCAGAACAAATGCCACAGAAGCAAAGCTCACTTTGAAGCGGGCACAGCAGAAGGAGCACAAGGTTAGAAGCCCTGATGCCTGGCACTTCACCCCTCAGCATCTCAGTGCTTTCATTTGTAAATAAAGAGCTTGGGCCAGATGGTCCCTGAGGACCCTTCCAGTTCTAATCTCTGATTCTGTCCATCCAGGATCCAAAGGCAGTCCCTCTCCTTCCCCTTGGGCAAGGGTCTGTCCAGCTCAAGGAAGCAACATTTCAAAGGTCTAGAGTGACTCTGAATGGTTCTCCTGACTGAGACTGGGCCATCTGGCAATGTACTGAAAAGCAAACTGAGAGTGCAAACAGATCAATATTTCTGCAAGGGGGACTGCTGAAACGCTTTTTCTGGTAGGAAACTGGAAGCAGTGTAGATGCTCATTGACTAGTAATAAATAAAACTGTCCTACATGAATGTAATGGAATATAATGGAGCCATAAGGAACAATGGATATGAAAAATCTGAAGTTTGGGAAGCAAATGAACTGATGCAAAGAAACAGAAGCAGGAAAACAATATACCCGACGCCTACAAGAATGTCAACGGGGGAGACCAACCAGCCCCAAATAAGAAATGAGCCCAGTGGGGCTCAATTGCTCCCTCTCCTCTGCGGTCTCCATAACAAGAGGAGATTCAGAAAAGAATGTGACAGCACAACCTCCAGCCTCAATAAACTACTTCAAATCTGTCTCCTTTCTAAGGGACCTACCACTGTCCGCATGGGAACGTTTCAGACGCTTCCCAGGCAGGGTATTTTACAAGACCAAGTTTAGGTAACCAGACTTGATGTGACATTCCTGGGCCTCTATAAGGAAATCTCAACTGTAAACTGTCAAACCACCCCTTCTTGCAAATATAAGTAAAGCATCTCACCTGCTCAGACTGTGTTAGCTTCATGGCTTCAGAAAGATATGCTATATAAAAAGAGAGACATATTAATAACATTAATAAAAAAAGTTTTGCAAAGAACACAATAAGTATAAACTTCATATAGTATAAACTGTCAAAAACACTGATATTAAAATTGCACTTGTGTAACTAAGAGGGCTGCCTTTCAGGAAAGATGTTGGAAACAAAGGGTCACCTTGGGTAAATCACTTCCCGCGTAGGCCTATTACTACAAAGTCACTATTGCTCACTAATGCTAAACCTTCTTCCTATACCCTTAATCCCAACTGCTCTAAGCCTCACCTAGCACTTAGCCCCAGTTAGTTTCCGGCTGATATATATGGTAATTAGGAACTCCCACTGCAGAGGAATTAGGCAGCTCCCGTACCAAGTGTGTCTTCCATAACTAAGGAGCCAAAGGGTGGAGCTTACAGCACAATACCATTCCATTACATTTATTTAGAGGTCAGTTAGGTTGTGAAGTAGACAGCCTGCTACGCCTGGAGTCAGGAAGCTTCATCTACCTGAGTTCAAATATGGCCTCAGACACTTTCTCCCCAATTGATGGGTACCCTGTTAATTTCCAGTTCTTTACCACTACAAAAATAATTCATTATAAAGTTTTGTACTTTAGGACCTTTTCCTCTTTCTTTGGTCTCTGGGAAATAAGCCCAGTTCACTTTCTCAAATTTAGTATCTATTATATAGTTTTCCTCTGTACTCTGACCTCTGCTCTTCTATGTGGAGCGCTCAACATACATGCTGACATCCCCTCAAACAATCAGGCCTCCAAGTTCATCAAATTTATGTCTCCTGATAGTCATTTTCCACTTGTACCTCTACCACTGCCAACAGGAAGCCTCTCCCTTTTGATTATAATCAAGCTGTCACCATTACCATGGTCTCTTCCCTCAATCCATCACTCCTTTTCTGGCTGCACTTTTGTTTTCTCTCAGACTTGACTCGACTATATTCTGCCCTTAAATCTTCCATCCCCTGGTCTTTCCACTATTTATACCCTGCCAGCTATCAGCTCTGGGCCATGCCTGCATCCACCTTCTCTCCTACACTTAAGCTGATAGAAGTGATACAGTCTTCATCTGCTGTAATTTTTTGACACTGTTACCCATCTCCACCTACTAGACACACTCTCCTCCTCTCTTGGTTTAACAGCCATCATATTTTACTGGGAGAGAGATACAAAGACAAAAAAAAAAAAAAAAGTGTTCCTGCCCTCTAGACTCTCCGAGATCTGTCATTTACTACCTATATGACCTTAGGCAACCACCTGACCTCTAAAGGGCCTCAATTTTCTAATCTATAAAATGAGAGAGATGGAGCTGATAACTTTTAAGACGCCTCTGTCTTCATCTTATCACTGCCAGAATTAATTTTTATACATGGATTTGGTCATTCCTGCCTTGGATCAAAAAACTTTAGGCTCTCCTACTGACCTCTGAATATAGTTTGATCTTCTCTGCCCATCATTCATTCAAAGCCCTCCACAGCCCACGACCACCTTATCCTCCTAGCTACCTCACATGACTCCCCTGCAAACATTTTATAATCCAGCTAACCCCTGGAACATGCCCTTATGCTCTTTGGTCTCGAGGTCTTGGCTCAGGCCACTTCTTGTACCTTAAATGACCTCTTTCTTCCTCTCTCTTCACCCGCTGAACTGCTACCACCCTTTAAAACCTAATCCTCATGTCACCATCTCCATGGAACTTTCCCCTGGCTGGAAGCCCCTTTCCCCCCAAACCTCACACAACACTTCACTCTGTAACTTTCCAATGCACTTCTGCTGCACTGAACAATGCAGCTGCCTGTGTTGCCATCTTATCCTTAAAGCTACATCCCTTGAAGGCAGGACCATGTTTTCGCTACACCTTACATGTGCCCATTGCCTCAAATCCCACACATGTGGCTTGACATTCTGCTATGTTCTCCAGCTCTGGCATCTGGGAACCAGGACTGAAAGAAGAGATCAATTCAATCAAGGACACTTTAAGTGAGGAAATCCCCTGATCCAACCGAGGGGATGTTGTCTTTATGCCTGTACATTCATTGTGAACGCAAAATAAATCTGACTGCTTTCTCACGATCACAGAAGCCCATGAAAATGACAAAACCGCAAGCCAAGAATAAAGGATTGCTACTGCAAACCCATCATTTACTCACTAAAAATATGCAAATCATTTCAAGTCCATCATATAGTTTGTTCCGAAAAAGGACAGGAAAAAAAGTGAAGCTCCTCAAAACTCTCTGAAGTGAAGTATGATGAGGACATTTCACACACACCCCACTTCTGTCGTCTCAAGTTCGCAGAATCACAGACTTCTAGGCTGGAAGCCTGGGGGTGCTCGAGTCCAACCCTCTCCTGCTGCGAACGAGGAGACTGAAGCTGAGACAAGTCGCTTTCTCAAAGCGGTAAGTGGCAGGGGTAGGACTTAAACCTGGACCATACCTGCTCTTCTCCCAGTCCTGTTCAGAGCTATGTTTAAACACTCATATGAACCATAATCCTGGGGTCACAGTGTTGGAAAAAACATTTGGAGAATCAGTTCAACTCCTTCATTTCACAAAGGAAAAAACCAGAGCCAGAAAGGTTGCCATGCTTTGCCCAAGGTCACACAACTCAATCCTGACAGAACTGGGGCACATTTCAAATACTAAGATGTTCAGTCATACAAAGTCTGCTGAACTTGCTCTTCACCCTCCTCCCTACCCCCATTCTGACTAAATGTGGTATCCAAACCCAGTATTTAAAGCATATTTAGGGTAACTGGCAAGTGAACGGGACTAATTCTCAGGCACCCTGCTGGTTTTTTTTTTTTAAAGCAATATCTATTAAAATTCTATCAGCAATCTGTTAAACTGTTACCAAAGCACAAAGCCGTAATTGTGCAGCCTGATTGCAGAAACACGGCAAAACATGCCCCATGAATGATGGACACTGATCTGCTCCAGTAGAAATGTAATGTGCCCATTGTCCTCAGCTTTCCTGTCTCTTGCAGCCTCTCTCCCTGCCGGCCACGTGATGACAGAAAGGCAGAGATCTGTTTTCATCTACAAGTTGGTCAAACAAGTTTTCAGATGTTCAGTGTGCTCTTGGGTCCCCTCGACTGTTCCCTCTCTGAATCCCTCTCTTGAGATCCAAAGTCCTTTGGTCCGGTCCTGTTAGCTAGCTGCCTTATGTTTTCACCGGCTGACTAAGCGCTAGCATGACTGCCAGGAGTCAGACCACCAGGAGCAGTTGTGTTGTGCCCATTTCACTTTGCTAAATTCCTTAAGAGTTTGCCAGAATCTCTCACATTCCCTTTCTTTCCTATAAGCCAAAGTAACCTCATTTTTGGTGAAATTTAGACAGGATTTCTGCTCCTGACCCCACTATTTACTGGTCAGCTTGTTTCCTTACATCAACTACACTCACACTTATTTCCAGCAGCAGGTTCCTAACTTACATGAGTTCCTTGTCTCAATTCGTTTACAAATTAAATTCTCAAGAAAGGTGGACTGCTTACAGACAGATCATGAAGCCATTTAGTCACTCCACAATAAGGAAAGAAACTGTACCTTTACTAAAAGCAGGGAAGGCCAGAAGTAGAGCTCCGGAATGTGGTCACTAAAGAACCTATGAGCTCCTGGTGCTGACTCAGAAATGGCTTCAACTTATTCTTAAGTTTCCCCCGTTCCCATTTCCTAAGAGAGCGATTTAACTTCAGACTGCTGTTCAAAATCCTAATTTGTTTCACCCGGAATGTCTTTTCCGTAGATTAATAATTTCCACTATGGACCTTCATTATGAGTTACGTTGTGTACCTCATTTTAGAAAACATGAGGGTGTCTATTTCTGTCTATTTCGAATCAAAATAACTTGCTATACTTAGAATACCACAATACAGCACTAGATAAAGACTAACTGGTTTAAAATGACTAAAACCAAGAAAACCACCCAGCCCCGTATCTAAGTCAATTATCTTTATGGGACTTACTAATCAGACTTGAGTAATATGTCTCTTAATTAAGCTGACAAGCCCTGGCAGGCTGCTTCATTTAATTTCTCTACACCTGAACGTGACAAAAAATCAGAACGGAGAATTTTAGAGGGGTGTTTAAGTGACGCATTCTGAGGGTTCTTCTCAGAAATGAGAAAGCAGACAAAGGTGGCTGATACTGGTTCAGCCACTTACATTCAGAACCCCAAATGCTCAACTCTTTGACCACCTCCCTGGGTGAAATAGTGAACAAACTGACACACTCATCCTACAATCAGTTTCTGTCTTTACAAATCAATAGGCTCCATGGACCTCCCCCAATAATCTTTGACCAGCCTCAGGACACCATCATAGGTTCTTATGAGATTAATTCTTCCACACAAGAAGGAACAAGTCCAAGAGGCTTATCATCACGCAGCCATCACCACCAGTGGAAAAACAAATGTTCCACTGGTGATTCTATATGTGAAGGCCAGAGTGTTATTGCTGCTCTTTCTATTCTAAATAAAGAAGGACTGTGAAGACTCGTAGGGGAAGTGAAACCGCTCAAGTGAGCACAAAAGTTAATATCATTGAGTGGGAACACTTCTTCTAGAACACTCACCAGCCGCCTGTTGGTGACACAAAATGGCCTCTTCGTATTTCCCTGCAGCTAATGATCGGTCTGCTTTCCTGCTCTGCTGATGAGCCTGGAAAACAAAAATGCCAGAGGGCTACTGAACGGGCGACTCAGGGCAAGCAATGAGCCAAGGCAACAATGTCGCGTCCAAAACATGACGAACAAGAGGCCACATTCAGGTCAGGGTACGATGTTTTAGAAAAGAAACCGATAAAGTACAATAGGCCTATACCAAGGAACTAGCCCAGTGAAAGAACTGGAGGTGGGCTGAGGGAGCTGGGAATACTGAGCTTAGAAAAATAGGAAGCTGCTTTTTGGAGGCTATTTGGAGGCTTTCATGTAGGAAAGGGACTAAGGCTTCTTTCTGCTTGACCCCACAGGGCAGACAGAACTGGGAGCACAGGGAGGAAATGAAGAGAGATGGATAAATTTCTTAACACTCAAAGCTGGATCCAAGAGTGGGCTGCCAGGGAAAAGTGGGTTTCCTCTCACTGGTAATCTCCGAGCAGAGGCTTGAGGACCATTTCTAGAGAATATTGTAGAATGGATTCTTGTTTCAGGCACTAGTTAGACCAGCCAGTTTCTGAGGTCCTACCTAGTTCTATAATTAGGAAATTATTAATGGTGGGAAGGATCAGAGAATGAAGGTAAACTGAAATATAAATAACAAAAGCTCACTTACTCTCAGTTTTATTCCTCAAAGATGTGAACTAGTAAATAATATTCATTTGTCTCACCTCCTACTACTAGAGGTACTAAGTAAGCAAAAGTAGTTAGAAGAAAAACCCAATAGGATTGACAATATTAGTTGTCAAACAACTGGTACTTGCTAACAATATTACTCAGATACACCTATCAGATGATCAATGTTGCTTCCCCCCCCCCCCAATTTAAAAGGATTTCTTTAGATCAGACCTTCCTCGAATATATATGGCTCTGCTCCTATATGAACTTAATGTCATACAAGTCTCATTATAGCATAGCACCATCATGCCCTAGCCACCCCTTTTCTACATTAGCAAGTTACTATTTCAAAATTTCTAGTTGTTATATATTTGATGGGTAATTGACAATTAAGAGATTTAGTTTTAGTTATGTAACCAAAAAAAGGAAAACTCTAGAAATTGCATCAACATAGACCATATTTAGTATGTTTTTAGTTTTCACGGATACTATGATAAAGACTTAAAGTCTCCAATGAACTCCACAATATTATGGGGTTGTGCATAGAAAGCCAGACTTGGGCATCATAAAAACCTGGGTTCAAATCCTGTCTCAGATATACCAGCCCATGTTATAGGGCACTCCCTTTTATCTTTCTCTGCCTCAGTTTCCTCATCTGTACAATGAGGGGTCCAATGCATCTCCAGCTCTAGGATCCTACTGTCCTACCCCAATGCTACATCAGGGTGTGAAGGGGACTGGGTTCTCAAAGGCTGTGGGACAGGCAGGCTCCGCTGTGCCCTGCCAAGCATGGGGAAAGTTAATTTATTAAGCACGTACTATGTGCCAGGTCTGATGGTGTCTATGTCTTCCAAAAACTAGATCAGTGAAGCTGTGAAAGGCTCATCACTGGAATATTAGCCAATTAATTCATGAAACAATCTCCTAAGACTGTGGAAAGAACATCCACACTTAAGAAAGCAAGAATTGTTTGAAGAGTTAATCAGACAGGTTCTCAAACTGAAAATGAAATACTCAGAAAATTTATTCTGACAGTATGCATAAAACGCTTCAAATCATTCTCAAGAAAGTTTCCATAATTCAAGAATCCCATGGAATTGAGTAGTACACTTCAGGAATCAGAGGACAGTGGAACTGGGAGGGAACTTAAGAAATGATCTGTAAAATGAGAAAGGCTAGACTAGGTGAGTGGGTTCTAGACCTTTTCTAAGTCATGGGTAATCTGGGGGAAATCTATGGTCCCCTACTCAGAATACTATTTTTAAATGCATGATATGAAACACACAGGACACATGTTTTCCCATCCAAGTTCACAGTCCTCAAGTCAAGAATGTCTAAGATCCATTCAGCTCTAAAATGCTATGAAAAGCTGGGATCTCTTATCTAGCTGGCTGAGTCTCACTTTACAGGTGAGAACACTGAGGCCCAGTGATCTAACTGACCTACTGACAGGCAGGAGCAGAGCTTTATGGGAAGCCTCAGTCCTTAATACTTCCCCTGCTGACCTGAAGCCTTCACAAAACACTTTGTGGTCCCCAGCTCACAGGTTGGGGGCTGCAAGAAAACTTGGAGATTTAGCCCAACTACATTTTACAGATGAAGAAACTGAGGCTCTTTGACCATAACGCCAGTGCTTTCTGCTAATCTCTCTTTGGCACTTTCTATGAGTCAAGAGCACTTAAAAGCTGTGATATTGGGCCAGGTCTCTTCACTCTCTCATCTTCAGGTTCCCCACCTCCCTAATGAGGGGGCTGCACACCACACAGTCCACTGAGTTCCTTTCAGGTTCTAACAGGCTCTTCTCCGACTAACTGTGGTGCAGAAGAAACCTAGAATTAGCTTAAGTTTTGCTCTTTCCCAATTCAGAGAATAAGGCAGCCAGTACCTAAATGCTTATTGAAATGAAACAAACTCGTTCTTTCCACCTAATCTAAATGCAGTTTGTAAATAAGTATCAAAAATTTTCTGAGTACTTTGTAAAGAAGAGGCTGTTTTGGTTCCTCAAAGAACTTTTAATACAGCAGATGATCCAATTCAACACTATTCAAAAGGTAGATGAGAGAAAAAAGGCCAAGTTCCACGTGGGCAGACCAGTGCGGAAGGAAAGGGGTGAAAGATGCCTCTTTCCCAAGTCCATCCTGTTCCAATTTTGCTTCTTTGTGAGGTGCGTGGATGTAGAAAGGGAAGGGCCTAAAACGGATCCAGTACAGGTGTGCTTAAGCTCTCTGTAGCCTCTGACACCAACCACCTTTCTCCTCCTTTGGATTCTTTTCTCTGGGTTTTGGGGACATCTCTCTCTCCTGATTCTCCTCCTACCTCTCTGACCACGCCTCAGTCTCCTTTGATGGATCCTGATCCAGGTCACACCCACTAACCCTGGAGGGTCCCACAGAGCATGTGGTCTCATCATTTCCCACAACATCTGTCTGCTTCAGTTTTCTCAACTATAAGATAGGGATCGTAGTAGTGTCTACCTTACCAGGTTTTTGTGAGGATCAAATGAGACATATTTGTAAAATGCTTAGCACGGTGCTTGGCACACGCTGGCATTTAAATGCATGTTTCCTTCCTTCCTCTCTCCCTTCCTTTTTATTCTTTGTTCCTTTCATGTATTTAGTTACCTTCATGCTGACAACAAAGTTGTTTGCATGTCATCTCCTCATGATGCCCTTGAGAGCAACAAGTGTCTTTTGCCTTTCTTTTTTATCCCCAACACTTAGCGCAGTGCCTGGCACATACTAGGTGCTTAGTAAATGCTTATTAACTTGGAGTCTAGGGGTCCATGGATAGAGGGGTCAGGAACTCTGGATGGGAAACAAATTACATATTTCCATTACCTTCTAACCGAAATTTAAAAACATTATTCTGAGGCATCCATAGGTCTCCACCTGCTGAAGGGGTCTATGATAGCAAAAAAGTTTTTAATCCCTGCTCTAATCCAACCCTTGGTATGTTACAGATAACAAAACAGTAGCCTAGAGAGATTTAAAGAGATCTTGATGGGTCGGAATGATAGGGCAAAATCAAGAATGTGAAGCTTGAAAGATAAATATTAAAGTTCTATATTTGATTTCAGAAAATCAACTTCAGAAGTACAAGGGAAGCGTGACTAAAACAGCTGTTCATCTGAAAAAAAAAATCTTGGGGGGAGGGAGCAGGAAGTATTTTAGGTCTGAAAGTGCAGTATGAGTCAAGAGAGCAAACTGGTAGCCAAAAAACAGCTCATGTCATTTTAGGCTGTATTTGGAGATGCATAAAAATCCAGAATATGGAAGTGATAGCACTGACAGAACCACACATAACCATGTACATGCACGACTGTGCTCAGTTCTGGATTCCACATTTTAGACCGAAGGCTGAAAAACTGGAGCATATCCAGGACAGTGAGGGGCTTCAAGACCACACTGCCATCATCGTCATCGTCACCACCACCGCCACAAGAATCCCATGCAATTATGTTTCTTGTTGCCTTTGGATGCACAACAAAACAATGCTACCAGCTCCTTGATTTCTTCCTCCAAAGAAAGGCTAAGATATCCTTCCATTTTGCAGCAATTTTCTTCTGTCTTCTAATTTTGTTATAGCAAGAATGTTGTCATAAGTTCAGTTTTTCACTGTCACTGGACAAGATGCTGCCATTTAGAGTGTATCAGTAACTAGTTAAAGACTATAAAGTTCATAGTAAAATAATGTTGAAGTTTATAAAACTAAAAACTGTCTTAAAACTGTGATTCTTAGGACCCTCTCCTCTCCCCCTCTTTCCACACCAATGGCATCACGACCATGGGAGTAGAAATCATCCCTCCTTTCTCATCGATGTACAATTTTTATGAAAATGATCTACCCCCGACTTGAGAATGTTTTTGATGAAGGTATCAATAGGAAACAGGCTTCTTGCAAGGAATACTCCACAGTACACCATATTCTTCATCACTCAAGTGACTTCTACTCACTAAGGTTCTCAACTTCAAAGTCACCCTCAACTACTGACTCTCCTTCGTCTTCTGTAGCCAATGTCCAAAACATTTCTTCCACCCACCCCCTCCTGTGTTTATACAAGCCACCACCCTAGTTCAGGCCTTCATCACTTCTCACCTAAACTACTGGAAAAGCCTCTTTATTAGGATCCCTGCCTCAAGTCTCTCCCAAAGTGAGATTTCTACACATCTGACCAACTTACTTCCCAGCTCCAAAACCTCCAGGTGGGGCTTCCTATTGAAGTGAGGATCAACTACAAAGTCGTCGTCTCCATTACTCCTTTCACATACTCGAGATGCCAACCAAAATGCAGCTTCTCATCCATCACATTCCATCTCCCAACTTCCTCAAGCCCTCATTGTCAAGCCTGTGACATATTCCTCCTTCCCTCTACCTTGGAGAATCCTG